CACGAAGTCAGATGCAGGATCTAGGCCAGCAGGAAGAAGAGACATCTAGTTCTCTATGGCATCTAGTTATAGATGTACAATATACCACTCTCAAGGAGATATCATCAGCTGTGACATCGTATCTCACAGGCGAGACCTATGCCGTTGTAGGGAGGATCCTGGCCAAGTTGACACACAACCTAAGTATCACTGTATTTTTTATTCATAAACATCTTATCATCTCAATACCTATGCTTCTACAGGATTACTTTCAATGAGTGCATTTTATTTTCTAAATAAGCTAAATTTATTCGATCCGGTTTCCTACTGTTAAGAACATTTTTGTATCTAAGACCTTCGTAAACTTTGAAGCCAACTATTTAGGGGTTGTGTTCTGTCTCTTGTAGTTGTGATATCTTGGACAAATAACTTAATTGTGTTGTACCTAAAAATGTAAGGTAGCCAATCATTCCATTACAATTAATGAAGATCTTAAGAGTAGCTTAAATAATGAGGATATCTATTATTGCCATCTCATGCATCTTCCATCTTTCAGCTCTGTCATCCTTAGCACATTGGATTCTACCTCCAATGTTACCTCATGATCCCAAAGGACTCTTTGTGCGCTGGCCATCACATCTTAATTCAAAGCAGCTGGAGGAAGGATAAAAAAAGACTAACACATTTTCCAGGACTTCTACAGAAGTGTCTTGTAAGAGACTTTCCAAAAGTCCCACTTATATTTACTTCTTACATCTTATATTTTCATAGTCTGACACTTACTGTATACTCTGCTGTGAAGAAAACTGGAAAATATATCCTTGCTCAGCACATTGCTCTCCCAAGTAATATTGAGGTTCTGTTTCTCAGGAAAAGGTGAGACTAGCTGTAAAGGCAATGTAAAATGATCCCATATTCCGACCTTTCCGTCTGCATGCTGGGATTTATAGTAGTACCTATGCCATAGGTTTGGGCTCAGATCTGTTGCTAGCACCTTGTTAGCTACATTATTGTATATCCAAGAGGAAATAAAGGGGCACATAATATTGCATTGCTATGAAAAGTTTTTACCCTCCAGACCCACTGAAAAGATCTCAGGAACCCCCAGATGACACTATCTTTGAGAACATTTGTAGTAAAGAAGCAGGTAATTCTTGGGGGGACCTTAACATTGAAAAGACACATAAGCTTCCTTTTGCCTTTACAAAGTTGGCTTGATTTTTATCATCAGACATAATTTGGTTTGTATCTTTCACCGTTTTGGCATGATCTCCAATCATCTCTTCTGCATATGTTTGTCTTCCCGTTGAAAATGTCAGCCCTGTGGAGGCTTGCCAGTCAGGTTTCAAACCGTGCCCTTCGGGCTTGCACACAGAAGTTCCACATACATCACCTGAATGAAAGAAGCACTCTTCCTGGATGATAAAACTCAAGCTCACTGCCATTGAGTGGATGCTGACCTGTCCCTGTGGGCTTCTGACATGGCAACTCTTCATAGGAGTGGAAAGCTCCGTTTTCTCCCACGGAGCACTGGTGCCTTCAGACTGCGGACCTGGCAGTTAGCAGCCCAGTGAGTAGCCACTTCGCTGCTATATCTAATATGCTATATAATGCAGCTTTGCACATTCTGTTCAGTTCTTCTCTCCATTAGTCACACTTTAAAATTCTAACTCAGACTTCCATCTTGCCCGGTCGAGGGCTGCGCGCTAAAAATACCAGCAGCAGTAGGAAGCTCGGACACTGGCGTTTGGATTGTGTTGCTGCCCTTCCATCCTGTGTCTCCTACCAGGGACATCTCATGAGGTCTCGCCTCAAGCTCAGACCCCAAACTCACTGTTTTTTGTTTTTTTAATCAGTTTATTGGGGGGCTCATACAACTCTTATCACAATCCATGCGTACATCAATTGTGTAAAGCACATCTGTACATTTGTTGCCCTCATCATTCTCAAAACATTTGCTCTCCACCCAAGCCCCTGGCATCAGCTCCTCATTTTCCCCTCCCTCGCTGCTCCCCCACCCCATGAACCACTGATCATTTATAAACTATTATTTTGTCATATCTTACACTGTCCGACATCTCCCTTCACCCACTTTTCTGTTGTCCGTCCCCCAGGGAGGAGGTTATATGGAGATCCTTGTAATTGGTTCCCCCTTTCCTACCCTCCCTCCCAGTATCGCCACTCTCAGCACTGGTCCTGATGGGATCATCCGCCCTGCATTCCCTGTGTTTCCAGTTCCTAGCTGTACCAGTGTACATCCTCTGGTCTAGCCAGACTTGCAAGGTAGAATTGGGGTCATGATAGTGGGGGTAGGAGGGAGGAAGCATTTAGGAACTAGA